TTGTGTTCCTGGTGCAAGAAAGCTTTCTTTTTTAGCCTCCTACTAATTAGCGGCAGGCACAGACGTCAAGCGACTCATTGTCAACCGCGGCGTTTGCTTCACCCGCGAACGCGTCTGTATTAGCTCACATTCGTGCTAACTTAACCTGGCTCAATGTTTGAAGTTTCGAAAGAAATTAACTGAAGCCATTCAGTGAAAGAAGATTTATCAAAATCACTAGGAAAAAGGCGTGAAAATAAATTACTTGTATTTAGACTTATCGTTAGATTTGGAAAATGAAAGAGTATATTTTTATTCTTTGTGGCCTAACCAAATGAAACCAGCGAACATGCAATTTTAAGCATTTGAATAGTCAACTAAAAATCCCCATGGTGTATTTTGTGTGTGTGTAATATTTTTTATTTATGAGATGAAAAAAAAGCCAATGCAAGTATTTTAAAAAATAAATCAATTTTTTTCTCAATACAAACAAGACAGTATGTCTAATCAGGGTAATCGTAATCATGATTACAAAAATCATAATGCCATGAAATTTTTTAGTAGCTTCAATAAACATTTGATTGAGAGAACTTATATATTTTCATATTCTATGAAGAGAAAACAACATAAATAGGCTCCATTATTAACAATTTAAATGAGCAAACAAAGGACAATAAAAAGCGAGCTAGAAATGTTTTAAAAAACATGAGCACATGAGCGTTTCGTGTTCTCTTCCCATTCATTTTCCCCTGTGTATAAGTGATGCGATGCGGGCATATCGAAAAACATCCGAGCGAACGTTCTCCACCCTGAGGTGCATCACAAACGACAAAAATGAGAGAGCCAGATTCATTTAAAAAACAAAACGTACTCCTAAGGCGAGGGGAGCCGCCGCGAGAAGAAGAAATTCATAAATTCATCCGACCAGCAGTTGGAATTTAATGGAATCGTTTTGTTAATGATGCGTGATGAGCATTCAAAATATACATATACGCGGCTGAGAAAATCGGTGGAGATATTTCACCTTGAAAAACCACCGCAGTGAGCATGCAGTAGTAATAATCTCACACACACCCGAGTCGTTTTTTTCTCTCATAACTTTTGGGATGCGGAGTTTAAAGAGCACCGGGTTGAATTTTAAATCCCATTTTTTTCTTCACCATTAAATTGTGTATGTATCAAGCGTTACTCATCTAACAGGGCGCATGCATCTCCTCCTCTCTCTTTCTTCCCATCTGATATAAAGGTGACCTAGAGAGAATGCATCTCATCTCTCAGTCGTGTATAAAAAAGAAGCAATAAAAAAGGTCGGGGAAAAGTAGCAGGTAGCCGCCGCCGCATTTGATTTTTTTTTTGTGTCGGGAAAATCTCAAGCAGAGACTGCGGCTCTCCTCCTGTTTGTTGCATTTCTCGCGAGTTGTATAGTCCGCGTCCGATTGTACAAACAAAGCCTGCAGTGCGATAGGAGAGAGATTATTAATCATCTTTGAATCTTTATAAGACGTCCGACTCTTTTGTAAGTGATTCACTGACGTGCATTTGTCAATTGCTTATGAATTCATCCGCGCAGGTTGATTGTGAAAGTTTGAATAAAATATTGATGTATTCGACGCGGCTGCGGTGTGATGTGCGCGAGGAGACGCACTGCTTTTAATTTATCATTCTCATTACTGGCCGATAACCTATTTTATACTTCCAGGTGCATGACATCCGCACGGCCGCGCGTGTTTGATAAAAGCGACCGTTTACGAAAGGACTCGTACGCTAAACGCAATTTACGGACACGGTTGTTGAATAAAAAGTTTCAACGTGTGCGTGGTATAGAGTTAAATTGCAAAATAAAAATATCTACCACGCACTGGTCTGTTCTAATTTTTGTATGGGCGCTCTTGGACAGTTTAACATTGACGACGCCTCAGCAGGTCATTCAAAGAGTGTTGTTGACTTTCTTATCAAATCGTGTGTGCCCCAATTACAGGTCAGTATCACGCTTTCAAAATTTCAAATACTATGCTGGGTGGACACACGGTAATGCTATTTAGTTAAAATAGTATAATTGTATTAACTTCTTAAAAAAAAAGAGGAAACGGAACATTAGCAGGACATGAAGTGTTAAAAATTAATTATGTCGCGCCCCTTTTTTGAAAAATAATGCTTTTAAACTGAATAACAGATTTTCTAAACAAAATTTAGTATTATTCAGAATTTAATTATCTAATTTAACATGAAAACACAAATATTCCCTTTTTTATAATTAAATCAATCTGTGTAAAATGAACGTATGCTGGTATATCATCCAATTTGCAAACTCTTCAGCTACAATATATTTTATTTTGTAGCAAATACTTTTTTTAATAGTTTAAACATTAAATACATTGATAAAATCTATAAATAGATTTTATTGATAAATTTTGTGATAAAATTTACAAACAGATTATCAATGTATTTAATCTACTAATAAAAAAATTGTTATTTTATATTATTATTTCTATTAGATGAGAAATATTTAAATGTAGTACTTTACAATAACTTATAGCAAAAATATTTAAATTATTTGGCACGGCTTTTGAATTGCTTCCTGTTAAGTTAATTCAATTAAATTATTTTCAAATCCACATTCAAATATAATGAGCTTGAATATTCTAAAAAAATTTGATTAAATAAGCTTAAATTTGCTCGTCAAGCTGAACTTTCCCGTCCTCGAAAGGAAGTCGTAAAAAGCAAGAGCTCCTCTTTGCCATACACACTTAAGTTCTCGTCTCTCATACAAACCGCGAGGCACCCATTCATTTATCGCGGAGCAGCGTTTTTTATTATTATATTATTAAACACACATTCTCTTAATTACCCACAACAAAAAGCAAGTCTGCGCCGTCTGCGTAAATAAACACCAGGGAAAAATTTTCGGTCGTGATAAACCGGCTGCGATAAAGTCGTATAATGAATCGCGGCGGACGCGCAGCCAACGAGACGCAGAGAGAGGGTGCGCGCTCTCTATGCTTTTTTTTCCATTCCGGTCCGCACTCAAAAAGGCATGCACCATGCACACTTGTTGCGTGACACACTTAAATCAGAATGCACAAAACCGCACTTTTAATTTTGTGGGGCCGTTTGACGCATTTGTATGATCAAAATCAAAATCGCGGGCAGCAGGATCGCTCTCTCGTGAAGTGCGCGCGTTTTATATAAAAAGAAGTGCTGGCGCAACAAGTGTATGCTTTGTGCAACAGGAAAACGACTGCGTGGCTGCATTTGAAGCGATGTGTAATAATGATAATAATAAAACGCGCGCTCTGCCTCTTTCCGCTGTTTCCGCCACGGCTGGACAAGTGCTGGCGTAATTGGCCAAATTAAACAAATCTCACCATACAAAAGCACCTCCGGCTGTCATGCCGCACCATTACGCTAAATTTAAGCTAACTTCATGTTTTTTTTGTTATCACTTCATAACTTCAAAATTTGGTAAAAGTCTTGTTTATTTACAATTCATTTAATAATTATATAAAGCTTTTTTGAATTAAATGGCAATTTGAATTCAAATGAACAATGGTGCAATTTGATATGATATAATAATTTATAGGAATAATGTATCTTTAACCTTCAATTTCACTGATGACTGAATATTAATAAAATTTATTATAACCATACATTATTTTACCACAAAATTATTTCACAAACAAAATGCTAAAAATATTAAATAATATTAAAAATTTACTACATGTTTTTAAATGAAATTAATAATAAGGATAATTAAATAAGAAATAAAATGTTTAATTATTGAAAAATAGAAAAGTTTTTAATATTTATTTACTGATTTAATAATGCAAGATAGAATTTCTCTTATATAATCAAGAGCTTCTAACAAAGGATCCGCCTCACATTTGCCTGATTTGGAAACCCTCAATCCTAACTAGATTGATAATTGGAAATAATGGGCGACTCCTATGCAACGACCCTTTACCCAGTCGCACTACTTATAATAATAGATAAAGGCATTGCAATGTTTGCCATCGCTTTCTAGCTGCTTCGAGATGGATGGTTGTGGATGCTGTTTGGGCTTCGCCTGCTGGGGAAAAAAGGCCTGTGCTGAAGAAGGATTTATGATTGCTCAGTGTGTGAAGAGCGCACCATGTTGCCAAGCAATCGCACATTTATCGGCTTCTCCCTGCCGCTGCTACTTTTTTGCTTCGGGAAGCCAAGAGGCAGAGCCGCGGCGTCGGCGGCGTTCTAATCTTGAGCTGTTGCAAAATTTAGAAATGTTGTGCGAAAGAAGCCGACCAACCCTTTTGCTTATTTGCCGGCCAGATTTGTTTGTTTTTATTGAGATGAAATATTGCAAAAGGGACATTTCACCGATCTTTGCTCTGATAAGCAAAATTTTTTGTTGAAAACTATTTTTATTTTTATCGATGAAATATTTCATCACCAAGAGACTCTTTCCATATTATATTAGAGGGGGACGTCTATTTTAATTTAATTTTTATTTGATGGTGTGGAGATAGAAAAGGGCTCGGTTGAATTCCATCTCTCAGAGATAATCAAAAGAAGAGCAACCCTTTCCCTTGTACGTCGAAACCCAACGTTCCGTAATCAAAATGCACCACGGAGATGAAAGGAAACCAGTCACAGCCCATCATCATCAAATAAAACCCAAAAAGAATAAGGCCATCCATTCTCCAGCAAAAAATCGCTGCGCAGCAACCAAAACAAAAACCAGTTCTCTATGTTTATTTATCTAATTTTTTTGCCCATCTCCACCAAAAGATGCTGAAGCTCTTTTCTGCGGCGGCGATGAAATGAAATTCGGTTTGTCAGTGGAAATTTTCATTACACACACAGCAGCCTGCGATGGATGTTTGTTAAACGAGAAACTTGGCAGCAGTGCGCGATGTGTGTACAACTACTTGTAGCGCGGCCAACATTCTCGCTCTGTGTGTGTATTTTTTGCTGCATGCATGCTTGATAATGGTGAGTGTGTAGTAAGGGGGTGTGTTTTGTTAGATAAAAAGAAGGTCTTCTTGCCTGGGGTTGGGTTTCCTCCTGCGCAGAAAGAAACCTGAGGCACTGTATGAATATATGTGTAGCTGCTCTCTGGGGACGCGCTGTGGTTCCGCGCAGTGGATTCATCAACAAGTCCTGAATTCAGAAAAAAGAGACCTATAATTTAAACCCTTTAATGCAATGATATTTTATTTAAAGAAAATTTAATTAGCGAAATTAGTCTTCTTGGTTTAATAATAATTCTTATAAAGGATGAACACTTGGTCAATTGTTTTACTCGATCAAGTCCATGAAGGCAATAGAGACTCATTATATAATTTAGAAGCCTGATTGTTTAAAAATTCATATTGCAAAATCAATATCATGTTTTCAATACATTTATTAATATTGAATTAAAATAAATTGAAAAACATAAAAAAATGTAAACTTTTTCTAATTGTATGCATTAATGTACAGTTAATAACTATAAATTTTAATTATAAATTAATATTTTTAAATTACTTGTTCTTTTCATAATATCTTTGTTGGAAAAAAACTACGCACTTAAAAGTTGTGTGCAGCCAGATGCCCACTCATCGCGGAACCTCACGAGCAGAAGATAAAGGAGCACAGTGGAAGAAAAGCCAAGGCGCGTAGGCAGATCTGGAGAGGAGAAGTCGAGGGTAAAAAAGGTCACTTGCCATTATTTTTTCCTATTCTACACAACCTGCGAGAGAAATTTCGAACAAAAGTGATAAAATCTGCTGTGCACGCCACTACTCTCTTTGGCTGTCAGCTCAGTGTAGTAAAGGAAGGAAAAATATCACCCCCTGTTGCTGCCGAAACTAAAGAATACGCTGCGCCTCGAGAGCTGAGCAAAATGACGTGGGACGCGTATTGTGCCGTGACTCATAAATTCTAAGGAATAAGAAAAGTAGTGGCACCGAGAGAGATCACCCGAAATAGATTGGGGCAAAAAGTAATGTGTGGTTGTTGTTGTGCAGCTCATTACGCTAGCTCTTCAGTGGGGGAGACCAAACGACGACGACGCTTCTATTCACAGAAGAGCGCGGTCTCTTAATTAGCAAAGGCCAGTGCACAAAGAATGAAACCCTCCCAATGATGGCCTAGTCGAACCGGCCGCCAGAAAAAGAGCTTTGGTTTTCCCCCAAGCACGTGAAATGAGTGATTGCATGTTTCCTTGTAAGACGTCTATTTTCCACAGGGCTGCAAAAATCACGTTTGGGATTTGGGACAATCTTGATTTAAAGATCATAAATTTTTTTCCATTCATTGGCACACATCGCATTAAAATACTGATAATTTTGTTGAAAAAGTACCAATGTTTAGTTTTAAAGAAGTCTCTAAAGTAGATTTGAGATAAGAGCAAATTTTTAAACAGATTAAAAGCAGTATTTTTTATATTTAAATTTGCTTTTTAAATATAATTTCTAATATAAACCAAAAAGGGCAAAAGAAACCTTTGAAGATTGCTCATGATCTATTTAAATGAATTTGCTGGGGAATAACGTCCAGATAAACTCAATATGACGAAATAGGATGTCACTTCCATGAACAGTTTCCTAATCAAATAAAAAATAAAGCAGAGGAAATCATCGTTAGCCATGAGGGATTGTTCGCCAAGGACAAGATAAAAGAGAAAAAAATCTTTCAAAGAATAAACAGATTTTTTGAAATGAAATCCCTAAAAATACAAACGATTACATAGCAAGCTTTGTAAATTGAAGTTTTTAACATATAACAAGTGGTAAATAGTATGAATATTGCCGTTTTAATTGAAAGCAGCTGGCAAAAGAGTCACGTGAAGAGCAGTTGGAAACACTCTCGTTAGCGAAGCAGCATCAAAAGGGTCCAAATTAGCATTCACTCTCCCTTTTTCTGCCGCTAAATTTAGCAAAACGTTCCCCATTGTCGGCAGAAATATACCCCGCGTGCAAATGTACGGCAACGAAGAGCTGCTGGCAATGCAGCGAAAAGCACGCGGAGCCGCAAACACGCACAAAAAGAGCACGGACGCGCGGTCTTCTTTATTTCCATCCGTCCGCTCTCCGGCGCACACAATAATATTATATTTTCTGCTGTGCGCCTCGCGAGTGTAAAAAAGTCCTCTCGCTTTTATTATTATCGCTGCGCACACACACACATTTTCAAACTGTGCAGATGACATCGGCGGCAATTTTAATTATTATTGCCGAGTACATACGGACGCACGTGATCCAATGCTGGCCCGAAACGCGTGAAGACGGTCACGTTTCGCGCACCGCAAAATGGAAAACAATGAGAATGAAACTGGTGAAATAAAGAGTAAAAAGGCACATGCTTGAAAAGCCTTCGGCCAGACAAACACGAGCGTTTCAAATCGCAGAATGATGTGAATGGCGATTCAAATTCCTGCATGTGCCGAGCCCAAGTTGAAATTCCCCAAACAAATTAATGAATTTTCGTGCGCACAAATTTTTCATTTCTTTCATCGTCCTATAGAGATGGGTAACAAAACATTATTTAGTCAAATCAGCCTACAAATTTAAAACTGCATTTCAATGTTTTTCTTGTCAAACCTATATTTATTAATTTATCTGCATTGACAAATTTTTTCCAGCTAAAATAACCTCTTTAAAGAGCCAGTGTCTAATTAAATTTTTAAAATGCTCAGTTTGACTATTTCTTAATAGACTCGCAACCTATTAATTCCAAAACGTCTATTGCCTTCTTTTCCCTGTTGAATATTATACTGCGCCTGGTTTTTTTCCAGGCAAATTTATATCCATTAAAGAAGAAAAATAATCTGCATATATTTATACAAAACCGGCTACGAAAGCGAATTTACACGCCAACCAGCTGAAGGAGACGCGAATGGAAGGATGAATATTATGATAAAATTTGCGGCCCGCTGCTAATGCAATTAATTACCAATCCTGCTCTGGGCAAGCGAGAAAGAGAGGACGGCTTGCAAAAGGCTTCGTTCGCCACACACACAAAACACACGGTCACGTGACCAACCCTGGCCTTGGTCGGCCGGCTTTGCCCATATTTTTGTTCGGCAAAAAGAGAGGAGACTCGCCAAACAGGCCCTCCACCGCGAATTTCGCGAAAGCGGTTTATCTGGCGGGCCGAGTGGCAAACACGCAAAATCAATTATTTGGGCCCTTTTGCGTTGTCTGTCTGTCTGCATGATTAGCGTTGCTAGACTGGAAATTGTATGGTTGCATTGAGTATGTTTCTCTGAAATATATTTTTTTTTATTATCATTAATTTTGGTTTGGTGTGCGTTTTTTATTTGCAGCTGAAACTCATCATGTGAATGAATTTATATATAAAAAAAAATGAAAACAAAATTATTATTCATTTAAATTTAACAAAATTTGAGCAAATAAAAAGATAAGTTTTAATTTATTTTTTAAACAAATATTATTGACCATCGTGTTGAGCAGAGTTTTGATCGAAACAATGATTTTATCAAAAAATTTCCAACATACAAAAAATAATTTAAAAACCAGCTGAACTCAATGAGTTAAAACTTTTGAACTGGAGAATGTTTAAAAACTAATTTTTATTTTGCGGCTAAATAAATTCAATGATTTTTAGATAAAAGAATTAAGGATTAATAAATAAAATGGTTCTATTTACATCAACATCTCTTCACATAAGCTGCACAACGAACTAATTTCCATAATCCTTATTCTTTTCAATTCATTTTTTACTCATATTATCAGCTGTGAGGAAAACACAATCATCTCTTTATCCCGGCGTCCACTTAGCGAATAATTGCAAGGTGCCCTGCACCGATCCTATCCGGCTCAATATTATTCTGTCCGCGGGCTGAGCTGGCTGTGTTCGGCTCCATTTTTCCTCTTCGCCAGCACCGCGAGTATAATAATAATCCACACAATAATAATCATCGTAATAACTCGGCGTATAGTTGTTGGCGCTGCCGGGCCGGCAAGCAAGAAAAGAGCGAGTTCTCGCACATACGCTGTATGTAATGCTGGCTGCTAACTCAATGTCAAGCTAAGGACATGTTATCAATGGCTAGAGTGAGGGGGGCTGTTTGGTTGAGCACACAACCAGCGTACATACCCGCGGCGCACATATTTTTATTTTTCCACGCCGGAGTGCTGCGGGGAATAATTTAACGAGTTGGACGAATGTTTGAATTGCGAGTGCCGTGTGTGATGCTGCTTTTTTCACTCGCACCCAGTGAATAATATTTCGTGTTATTGGCCACGGTGCGACGCGGCCAGAAAAACAATATAATGACTTTGGCGAACGGCCACCGCCGCCCAACAGAGACGAATCCTCGATCTCTTCTTGCGGTGTCCTGTTATTTGTTCACAAATAAAATTTTAAAACTACATTATTCAGATATTGAAAAGTGTTTTTCGATCGAAAGCTATTATGGAATTATATATCATTGCAGTAGATTGAAAAATATATAATTATGCGGTCGTCAGATACTTGAGCGCAAATTATATTACATCAATCGTCAATAATTTTTTGGTTATGTGATTGTAAAATGATCTCATTGGGATCTTACATCCCAGCATTAAAAAGTGCAAAATTAAACTATTTTTATTTACCTTGCAGGATCATAAAAATTATAAATCGTTTTAATGGTGCTCGTATGTGCACCTCATACGAGGTGCTCATATGTGCACCTGATATGAGGTGCTCAAAAGAGGTGCTCATATGTGCACCTGAAATGAGGTGCTCAAAAGAGGTGCTCATATGTGCACCTCATATGAGGTGCTCAAAAGAGGTGCTCATATGTGCACCTGAAATGAGGTTCTCAAATGAGGTGCTCATATGTGCACCTGATATGAGGTGCTCAAATGTGCACCTGAAATGAGGTGCTCAAAAGAGGTGCTCATATGTGCACCTGAAATGAGGTGCTCAAAAGAGGTGCTCATATGTGCACCTGATATGAGGTGCTCAAATGAGGTGCTCATATGTGCACCTGAAATGAGGTGCTCAAAAGAGGTGCTCATATGTGCACCTGAAATGAGGTGCTCAAAAGAGGTGCTCATATGTGCACCTGAAATGAGGTGCTCAAAAGAGGTGCTCATATGTGCACCTGAAATGAGGTGCTCAAAAGAGGTGCTCATATGTGCACCTGAAATGAGGTTCTCAAATGAGGTGCTCATATGTGCACCTGATATGAGGTGCTCAAATGAGGTGCTCATATGTGCACCTGATATGAGGTGCTCAAATGAGGTGCTCATATGTGCACCTGAAATGAGGTGCTCAAAAGAGGTGCTCATATGTGCACCTGAAATGAGGTGCTCAAAAGAGGTGCTCATATGTGCACCTCATATGAGGTGCTCAAAAGAGGTGCTCATATGTGCACCTGAAATGAGGTTCTCAAATGAGGTGCTCATATGTGCACCTGATATGAGGTGCTCAAATGAGGTGCTCAAATGTGCACCTGAAATGAGGTGCTCAAAAGAGGTGCTCATATGTGCACCTGAAATGAGGTGCTCAAAAGAGGTGCTCATATGTGCACCTGATATGAGGTGCTCAAAAGAGGTGCTCATATGTGCACCTGATATGAGGTGCTCAAATGAGGTGCTCATATGTGCACCTGAAATGAGGTTCTCAAATGAGGTGCTCATATGTGCACCTGATATGAGGTGCTCAAATGAGGT